CCCACGTGCCCCACCAAAAAAATAAATAAATAAAAAAGCAAGAAAAAAATAAAGAGGGAAAAAGAGAATGCACTTTGCCATGTTCATTTTGCACTTTTAATGATGACAGCACCAAGTTTAAAGAAAAATAAAATCTATATTATTCCATGATTCTCTTCTCATTCATGAAACTATTTTCTTTTGTTTGTTAATTTTGTATACAGGCCCTAATATGAGGAGATAACAGTAAAACAGCCAACAAAAATATAATAGAAATGACATTTTAAGGTAGTTGCCCAGAAAAGATTTACCTAAAATGTGTTTTGCACGTATCCCAACGTGCCAAATAAACTTCTAAGCCCCCAATTTTTCTTATTCTGGCTAGTTGTTGTTGCTATTTCACATTATTATCAATTGATTAGCTATTTTAGTGATCAATACCTTGTAAAGCCAAAAGTGCTTCATAGCTGCCATTGGTAATTAGCCTTCTAGTAAATAATTGCTTCTTTATTTTGGAGTAACACATACTAAGTCAAATGATCATTTTGAATTATAGTTTCTAATAATGTCATGAAATATAAAGCTTACAAAGCACAAAATCACCACTTTCTTAGGGATAATTGGGCAATATTACTTTTCAGATACATTTAACTCTTTTTAATGTAATTTGACTCTTAACCTAAATCCCTTTTGTCTGAGAAAAGTTCATTTTCATCCTGTAAGAGAGATACCATTCTTCCATCCATTGTTTGGTTGCTGCCACAGAGGCAGATAAGTGCTGTATGGAGAATTTCTAAAGGGGGGGTCCTCATATCCGGGCCCCCTGCAGATCACACGCAGAGGTCCTGCAGGCAGCAGCCGCACTCTCCCTGGAGGGAGAGACTTGTTTCCCCAAGTGCATCTGAAACTAACCTCTGATGTTGAACAACTAAGCTATCTGTTTCTTTCAGATCTCTGTGCCTGAGGTGGATTTAATGTATCTAAGTTAAGATTGAGGCCCACATGAAAATTCCTGTCTGGATTCCTCTGTAGAAACTGGTGTTTGATCTGTGTTTACTTTATTTCTGTGACACTGTTCATGTGCATTTCAGTGATCATTAACAAAGCCCTCTCGGTGGAAAACCGTGATGAACGTGGAGTTTTAATTGGCTGTATCAGCTGCAGGTTTGGCAAGGCTGAAGTGACTCTGAATTCAGTGAAAACCCTGTGTCATCAATTTGTGTTCAGCCAACCTTGTACAGTGGGGCCTTGACTTGCGAGTTTAATTCGTTCCGAGACCAAGCTCATTAAGGAGCTCGTTAACTCAAATTACTCTATCAACTCAATGCAAAAAAATCAGCCGAGAGACAGCTGGTATCTCAAAAAACTCGTTAGTCGGGACACTGGTAAGTCAAGGCCCCACTGTATCAAGGAAAAAGGCAGTTTAGTCAACCATGCAAAAAAAAAAAAAAAAAAAAAAAAAAGAGCAACAGAAATTTCATGGATTTCATTTGAGCAATGATTTAAAATTCTATACATTAGCAGAGCATCCCCCACTTTTTAATATATATGTTTGTTAATACACAATTGGTGAATTAGAGCTTCTATATCTTTCTAGGGCTGTTTAAAGAGCAGAATTTTTTTTACTCATAGTTTTGGAATGTGGAAGTCCAAGATCAAGATATTGGTAGGTTGATTTCTTCTGGTCCCTCTCATTGGCCACCTCCTCGCTGTATCCTCACAGAGTCTCCCTTGGCCTGTGGTGTCGGTTCTTTTCTTCTTAGAAAGACACTAGTCATATTGGATTAGGTCGCACCCTCATTTAACCTTAATTACCTCCTTAAAGACTATTTTCAGATATAGTCACACTCTATAGTCACTATCTATATAGTCAGGAGGTAGCACTTTAGCATATAAATTTGGGAAACACAGTTCAGCCAGTAATGTGGCTTAAGAGGTGACAAATTGTGTTTAGATGCTTCATAGCATCCTTTCCCTCTTCTGCAGATTTACAGCTCGCAGTCCCTTTCTTGGCTTGTTTCCTGGTCTGCAATCTGGGGACTTAGAGAATAACAGAGATTGTGAGAACAATGCCCAGGTTCATAGTTGATCAGAGTTAAAACATTCCTCCTTGATAGATTGTCCTGAAGTTTTTCCACTATGGTTTTCCTTCTGTTTGGTATCATTTCGATACATGTGACTAAGCAATTCATATAAAAGCTGACAAGGGTTTGATGAAAGTGTGAGAACATGGTATTGAAATATTTTCTTCTGGTTGAAGTAGTAGGATCAAAACACGGTTAGTTCTCACCAGTTGCCTCAACGAAAAAGGATTTCGTTCTCCTTTTTCTTTGCAATCCATAGGAGTATGGCATAGTGGTCTGTGTTCAGTATCTGTGGTGTACATTTTAATATCTGTGAGATCCTGGGAAGATTACTTAATCTTTCTATGCCTTGGTTTCCTCATCTGTAAAGTGGAAGAAATAACAATACATCCTTTATAAGATGAATGTAGCTCCAAGAATAGCCAACAATTCTCATAAAGCACTTAGCATTGTCCCCGGACAGTCAGGCTACATAAACGTTAGCCAGGGTTCACTGTTGTTTCTTGCATACCCTTCTTCCCTCCTGGCTGTGTTTCCCGGGCTGCCATGCACAGACCGCAGCGTTAGCTGGAACAGCTGCCAGTGCCCAGTGTCCTAGGGAAGGGTGAATGGAGGAGCCTTTTTTTCCTGGTATGACAAAAAGAAACTTCAGTAACCTTAGGTGTGGTGTGTGTGGGCATTTGGGGACAGTTCTCTGGAATATGTGTGGTGGCTAAGACTGGAGAGTGACCATCTATTTCTTACTGGTACCTGCAACTCGGTAATCTGTCTGTTAACACCTCTGTACATCATTTTCCAAAAATATGAAGTGGGAAGAAGCACTGGAAACTCGGGGGGTTGCTGGGACTAAGTGAGATGCTGCACATAGAGCTCTTAGCAGGCACGAGGTAAACACTTCATTGTTTCCATTTGCAAATGTGAAACAGAAAATGAAGGCAAATATGTTTCATTTCACGTGTAAGTGGCTTTGTCTTCTGTCCCTCTCAAATGAGCTGTCACCCCACTGTCCCACTTAGCACCTCCATTTTGTAAAGTCTGGTTTAACCTATTTGACATGTGAACGGTCATGGCCCGCATGCTCATAGAGTTTTACTTTTATGATGAAAATATTGACAAAGCCATTGGACAGGGATGGCTAAAGATGAGGGAGTTCTCCCTTCAGTGAGTTTGGGCATCAGTGTGAAAACCAAATTTGAGTTACTAATGCCAGTTTACTATCACAAAAGGCTGAGTTATTAAAACAAGGGACGTAATATTTTCACCATGTGCTTCTCAATTCAGAGAATTTGAAGTTTTGTATGAAATTCATTATATAGAACCATGTTTCAAAATAAGATGGTGTCCACAGCATTATGACTAGGCAATGGGGCCTTATTAAATGAGGAAATCGAATGTTGATGCTGAAAACTTTGCATTCTAGAGGTGATATATGATAGTTATATTGAAAGGTTTGAAGGACAATTGCATGAAAGTGGAGTCAGCATCTTTTCTGTAGCCCCAGAGCATAGAATTTACGGGGCACCCTGAATCAATGCAAGAACAGATCATTTAATGGGAAGTTTTCATTAAACAGAAGAACCATCTTAGGAACAAGTGAATTTCCTGACACAGCAAGTGCTCTAACAGGGCCTGGTTGTGAATTATGGCTCGATATCTTAACGGTCCCTTCCAGATCCAAGGTCTGTCTGGCTCGTTTCCTCAGGCTGTTAGTTGTCATCTAAATCCCCTTTTCTCTGTTTGCTTCTCTTTTACTCTCTAATTGTTTTTTTTTTGAATTAATAGGCCTTACTATTTTTTTTAATATATATATTTTATTGATTTTTCACAGAGAGGAAGGGAGAGAGACAGAAAGCTAGAAACATCGATGAGAGAGAAATCCTCACTCCTCTTCGTCTGGTCCCCCATTCACATTTTCTGTTAGTGTGGAATATTGACCCAATTAATGAGCCCATGCTATTATATCATTATCAGCTAAGTCCAGAATTTACATGAGGGTTTACTCTTTGTGTTCTACATTCTACAGGTTTTGACAAGTAGATAGTGACATGTGTCCACCATTTCAGTATCATACTGTTTCACTGCCCTGTGCTCTCTGTATTCATTTCCCTTTCCCCATTAACCCTCGGCAATCACTGATCTTTTTATTGTCTCGATAGTTTTACCTTTTCCAGAATGTCATATGGTTGGGATTATACAGTATGTAGCCTTTTCAGATTGGCTACTTGCACTCAGCAATATGCATTTTAAGTTCTTCTGCATCCTTTTGTTGTATGAGTGCTCATTTCTTTTTGTCTCTGAATATTTCATTGTTTGAATGTATCACACTTTGTTTATTTGTTCACTTATGGAAGTTGTTGATTAATTTGGGTAAATATCAAGTGAAACTCCTGGGTTGTGTGGTAAGAGTATGTTTAGTTTTGTAAGAAACGACCAAATTGTCTTCCGAAGTGGCCATACCATTTTGCATTCCCACCAGCAATGAATGGGACTTCCTGTTGCTTCACATCCTCGCCAGTATTTGGTAGTGTGCTTTCAAGGTTAGCCATCCTAATAGACACATGTGCAGTGAGCTGACTTTCTTTTCTCATATTCAGATGTGTTATCCCCAAATAACTATGAAAAATATATTTAACACTACTATTAATGTAATATAATACAACTATTATCCTTCAGAATGCAGATGGAGAAAGATATTGGGAACAAGAAAGCAAGCACTATTATTATTAACACTACTAATGATAATGCAAATTTATTTGTATTTTTTGAGTTTACAGGAGAATATTCGTAAGTCACATTTCTGACTAATACTCACTCATAAGCAACTATTCTCCTATGCATTAGAGATGTTGGCAATCATCGCTTAACAGTTCTCTGGAGAGAACTTTGGTTTTTGAGCCACTGCTTCTTAACTGAGATTTTTCAGTGTCTTTCTTCCAGGTCTTTCAGGTCGCCTACGTCATCATCAAAGCTGCTAATGCCCCTCGACCCGGAAACTGGATTTTGGAGCGATCCCTGGATGGCACCAAGTTCAGTCCCTGGCAGTATTATGCAGTTAGTGACACGGAGTGTTTGACTCGTTACAATATAACCCCAAGACGGGGGCCGCCCACATACAGGGCAGATGACGAAGTGATCTGCACCTCGTATTATTCTAGGCTGGTGCCACTGGAGCATGGAGAGGTACTGTGCCCACTGCGGTCATGTTTGTTTCACACCAGGACTCCACCCCCCCAACCCCCCCACCCCCACCTTGAATGTTAACATAGCCATCACAAGAGCTAACAGGAAACACTCAAAATGAATCTCTCTTAGTAAAGATTACAAAGAACTGTACTGTAACTGTCTAGCTGCACTTAACGTATCATTGACTAGTGTTGACTGATGATTAATTTCATACGCAGTACATTTCACCTCATTGATTTCTCCCCTTCAAGGAGATTTCTCAGTTTGCTCTGACTTAATAACTACATCAGATCCTTCTCAGAGCATCTTGCCCATATTACCAGGGCAAGAACATTTGGTGAAATGTTAGAGAGCTAAAACTCCTCTAAAAGATACAGTTCTCGATTTTCTCCATGAAGGTCTCTTTTTCTTCAGTGGTGTTGAGGATTGGAGATGGGTACTCAGCACAGTATGGCATGTTGTAAAAGATCAATTGCTCATAAAAATTATTATTATTAGGGAAGACTAAATTAGAGAAATGAGGGGTTGCGGTTGCCTGAGATTCAAAGTGGTGAGTTGTAGATCTTCGTCAATCAAAGCTGACCTGATGACCAGTGAGTCACTCTAATATCATGTAGCTTTGTCATAATATAGCAATTCTCAGCAGTTCAACCGATTTTATATTTTTAAGGATTTTTCCCCTGGCATCATGCTCAGCATAGTAATTTTTCTTTTATTATTTTCTCTGAGAAATATTTTTAGGTAATGGGGAAAAAATGAGCCCTCTCTCACAATACAGTAAAATAATATAATAGACTCTTTAAAATATATTTCTTAGCAAAACATATTAAGTGGGTCATTATTTATATGAAATTTTAAAAGTCATTATGGCCTGTTGTGCAAATTTTAAACTGGCATTGCATAGGTAAATTATGTTTAGGCAGTTTTCAAAAACTGGATTTTTGACTCAATAGACCATGGCATCTCTTTGATGTGCTATTTTGTAATTCATTAAATTATTTTCCAGCATGCGGGTAGCTATGATGCTGCTGATGGATATTCATATTTAAATGGTGAACTAAAGTTACCTTACACCTATATAGGCCAATTTTTTCAATGGGAGACCCAGCGCTGATGATCTTTCCCCCAAGTTGTTGGAATTTACTTCTGCACGATACATCCGTCTGCGCTTACAACGCATTCGAACCCTCAATGCAGATCTGATGACCCTCAGCCACCGGGACCTGAAGGACCTCGATCCTATCGTGACAAGACGAGTAAGTCCACGGTAGAGCTCCTGACCATTGTGAAGTTTATCTGGTTTCAAAGAAATATACTCTTTTTGGTTGGCCTTTTCCTCCTAGGTTGTCCTTTTTCATATCTTATTGAGGATCATTATATATGCTTTGTTAAAATTCCATCTTTAAACCAAGTGATTTACACTTATTGATTTTTGTGTATTAAATTAACTGTTTATGGGATAATTCCTACTTGGTCATGAGATATTATACTTTTTATATAGTGCTATATTCAATTTAACAATATTTTTTAGGGTTTTCAGTAGTGTGTGTTTTTTTAAAAATATAATTTTATTGATTTCAGAGAGGAAGGGGGAGGAAGAGAGAGACAGAAACATCAATGATGAGAGAGATTCATTGATCAGCTGCCTCCTGCAGGCCGCCTACTGGGGGTTGAGCCTCCAACCCAGGCATGGGCCCTTGACTGGAATGACTGCCTTGGTTTAAGATTCAACCAAGTTGAGAAATTCTCTTAAACTTCTTTGGTTTCTGTTGATGAGTTAATTGAACATTATATATATTAATGCACACAAAAATTCTTTGTGCATGATATATTTTAAAATATATGTCTAATTATCTTCAGATTATCAATAACAACTGGGATATTTGTTGGAATACTGCCTTTTACTTTTCAATGCAATTAATGAGGTTTTAATTTTTGTTTGTAACTTTTTTCCCTTAGTATTACTATTCAATAAAAGACATTTCTGTTGGAGGAATGTGTATTTGTTATGGCCACGCCAGTAGCTGCCCATGGGATGAAACTACAAAGGTGAGTTCCAGTATTTGATTTTGCTAAAACATCAAAGTAGAAGTTATAGCTGTAATGTTTGCATTGTGCTTCTTTATGCAAGGCAAATGCTGAAGGTATAAAAGGATTTTCTGATAATTTAATTGGTTTCATGTTTTGTTGTTGTTGTTAGGTCACCATAAACTTTCAATTTTTTCAACAATTTTATTTTGCTTTCTTTGGAGAATATATTTCTAATTAATACTATTTTGTCATAAAATATATATAACATAGAATTTACCATTTTAATCATTTAAAACTATACCATTCAGTGACCTTATGAAATTTGAAGCTCTTCTCTCTGAAAGAGGCAAGCAAAAAGCATGTGCAGTTACAAATTATGTTTATATTCTTTTAAAAGGAGGATCCCCCCTCTTCCAATATTCCCCCTCTTCCATTTTTTGTGGTACTAAAATCAAGATAAAGTTGATCTATTTTAGCTAATACTCAGTGAATAAGATGATATCTCTCTTCTTATTTTAAACTTGCATGAAGTCACTTCTGATTTCTTTTCCAATCGTTGTATTAATTTAACTCTTAAATAGGATTATTCTCTTATTGATGCTGAAAATATATAGATGAGCCTCAAGAAACTTATTAATAGGAGATTTCGAACCCTTAAAGTCAATGTCTCTTTTTTGAAAAACTTTTTTTAATTAACCCATATTTTAGTTTTGCTTTATTCCTCTTCACTTTCTCTTTATAACCCACTCATGTTTGTATATTTTGCTCTTAAATATAAAGTTTGCTTTGGTATAGTCATCTATCCTCAATTCTAAAGTCTTGCTATGTAGTGGACTGTGAGACACTTCTTTTAAAATAAATTTAAGAAAAATATACAGGTAAGTTTTCAGGTGCCATTTTGTCCCTGTTGTCTAGAAACTACGGTGTCAATGTGAGCATAACACCTGTGGGGAGAGCTGCAGCAGGTGTTGTCCTGGGTACCACCAGCAGCCCTGGAGGCCTGGGACCATTTCTTCGGGTAACATGTGTGAAGGTAAGTCCTCTGAGAACTAAAAAAATGTATCCATTTTTCCCTTCTTAGTGTGCTGAAGTTTATGGCGACTTAACAATATTTGTAATGAATACATAATTTCCTTTTAGGTAATTAAGTAGTTCCCAAATCTGCAGGTTACTTTTATAAAATTTAGACTATTTATTGAAACCTGAATTTATGTTTATGGATTTGTTATTTTATCTAAGATTCTCCTTCCCAGAGATGAGCGTATCCTTTATTAATTTGGATTTAATTTTTAAATAGGCAATATAGTCATAAGATTCCAACACCTAACAATATGTAAAAGTATCTATCTCCATCCTTTCCACTTTTTATTATTTTTTAGTATGTTATTCCTGAACGTTTTATGCAAATAAAACATATATGGATATATTCTTGCACCTCACACAGTTTATACACAGAACCTGACATACTGTGAGTGCCATCCAATGCATTGCTTTTATACTTAACAATAGATCTTGAATGAAAATCTTTCCATGTTTGCAATATGAAATGCTAGGTATTTTTTTAATTTAATTTTTAAAAATTTATTTAATTTTTTATTTTTTCCCCATCTGTTTTTAAAAAAACAGTAGCACTGAATTCCATTATATATGGATATAACATAATTAAAACAGCTATCGTGGGTATTTTGATCATTACCAGTTTTTTGTTAATATAAACAATAGTGCAATGGTTACCCCTATATATGTCATTGAGAAATGTGCAAGGAATTCTGTAAGATATAATCCCAGGAGATAGATTGATGTGTCAAACGATAGTGCCCATATATAATTATGGTAGCTATTTCCAATTGCCATGCATAAGATTGCCCATATGCTATCAAAATTATTCTGTAATTTTCAGTTAATTTATAGTCATAGGAACTTACATAGGTTTTCCTTATATATATATATATATATATATATATATTGAAAATGCTAAAATATTCTTCTAGAATGTAATTGCCACAATAAAGCGAAAGACTGCTACTATGATGAAAGTGTTGCCAATCAGAAGAAAAGTTTGAATATTGCTGGACAGTACAGAGGAGGAGGGGTTTGCATAAATTGCCTGCAGAATACCATGGGAATCAATTGTGAAACCTGTATCGATGGATATTATAGACCACACAAGGTAAGATTTTTTTTTTCCCCATAGCTGAGCTTCATTGTCTTCTTAAAGTGGAAAGGAGACTTCCCCAAGTGTCAGCATCAGTCTTGGAGACTCATTTCCTTTTGTAATATTTCTTATATATTGTTATTATGCTAGTAGTGTTTTTCAGGTATAGATTTCCTACTCTATCAGTCCTGTTTATTTGCTCAGATTAGGATGTCCACTTATTGTTCTTCAACTTGAATTTGGGGACCCCTTGGCTGTGTAATCTCAGAGTTTTATAATACGGCCAATGCAAAGAGTCAGCCAGTAACTGAAGCAGCTGTACCAGGATCTTGCCCATAGGAAGTGCCCAGTTGATCCTCAGTTGACTTGAAATGTAGTTGTCTCATGAGTCACTGTGGTGGTCTGGTCATAGATGACCTGGTGCACATGTAAGTGATGCTTATCTATGACTCTGAGAGTCAGCAGGGGGCAGGGGAGGGCAGTGGGTTGTAGTGATAAAGGGAAAGGATGGCACTGCTAATGAATCCAGCTGCTGTCACCATCAAAAAGCTGATTGGACTTTCTAGCTTGAGTTCACCTTATCTTCCTGAGACCTGCACCTCTTGGATACAGAAATCATTGTGCTAGTCACATCCTGGATAAAAAGTTGATACTTTGTCATTGATATTATTGTTGATATTATTGATATTATTTATAGTAAAATTATAGTAAAATAATCCAGGACAACCCCTACCTTTCAGGTGTCTCCGTACGAGGACAACCCTTGCCATCCCTGTGACTGTGACCCTGTGGGGTCCCTCAGTTCTGTCTGTATTAAGGATGATCTCCATTCCGACTTACACAGAGGTAAGTTGTGCTTGTAGTTGATTTCTTTTTTCTTTCTTTTCTTTTCTTTCTTTTTTTTTTGTGTTTGTGGAAGATTTATACATAGTGAAACTGTAACCGGACAACAAAAGGGTACAGGCTGCCTGTCACAACTTCAGCCAATTAAGCAGAGACAGGGTTGAATCATATATGAGCATTTATTCCATTAATGCTCGCATTATGGGAGAGCATCAGGTCATCCACACAAATCTGCTCTGCACCCCACCATAAGCCAGCTGCTTATATTGGATAACAGGACAAAGATTATGTGGGGAAGTAAGAATTGCAAGCACGGGAAAGTAGACACAAGTCATGCGGGTTTGAGGGAGGGGGGAAGTTGCAGTTGCAGGAGAGTGGGTGCCTCCGGGCACCCTGGGGCCAGATTACAGGTAATAGGGGCAGGGGGTTGTAAAGAGCAGGTGCCTCCTGGACTAAATTGTTTCGGCCATGAGGTCGTAAATCTTTCCATACTGATAGGCAGTTCTCGGAAGGAGGATGGACTGCATTCCGATGTGAGCTCCCCTGTCCCAGGGAGTACAACTCTCAGTGAGGTTACAATGTGCTTTCTCTAATCAGAGCAGAACCATCATGGTTAACAGAGCATGATTAATATTTCTTATAATTATAATTAGTTTCCAATATTCTGTTTCTTCCCCTACAAGAACTATTACTGTTGTGTAGTAATTTGGTGATATGATTTCCTATTGATTATTTTGTTCACTAAATATTTATCAAGTACCTAATGTGTGTCAGGCAGTTTTCTAGGACCTAGGAACACATACTTGAACAAGATGATCAAGGTTGCTGCTCACAGGCAAACTCTATACAAACACGCCCATTTGTAGTACAATGCCAGGCAGGGTTAAAGGTTAAGGGCCACAGGAATAAAGCAAATTCAGGATCATGGTTGAACTGAGATAGACTGTGGAGGTGGCAATGCTGAGGTGATGAACTGCCATTTGAGAGGTTAATTGGGCATTTGATGAAAGAAGAAATAGGCTTATTTAAAGTCATATGTGGAACACAGTAAATAGCAATCACTTGATTTAGCTTTTGGAAGACACAGGAATGTTGCTCTACACCTCTCACAAAGCAAGCAAATCCTCCAGTTAACTCTGTAAGTGTCAGTGTTCTTTTTGTTTCAAAAAACTGGCCAGTGGGCATGGAAATACCTGTCAAATAGATTGCATCTGTTCAAAGACTTCTGTGACCCCACCAAAGTCTCGGTCACTAGCAGGTAAAGTGGATAATGACCTGCAGGAAGGGAAGTGCCAACTGTGGGGCCTGCTGCCAATGTGGAGGGTCCATTACACATTTGTATTGATTCTTAACTGCCCTGTTAATGAGAGGATGATGATGATAATGACATTTACCCTTGACTGGGTTCACTTAAAATAGATATATATCATTTTAACTTTCAACCATACAGATAGAAATCATTTAACCCATTTTACAGTCAAGGAAATAGTCTCAGAGCAGTTAAGAAACTTGGCTGAGGGTACAGAACCAGAAAGTTTCAAGGCTGGCATTCAAACCAAAGGTTCATCCATGTTGTAGCATGAATCAGCCCTCCAGTCCTTTGTATTGCTGAATGATAGGTATTCTATTGTATGTATATTGCACATTTTGTATATCCATTCATCAGTTGAGCATTTAGGTTGTTTAGACTTTCTGGCTGTTATGAATATGCTGCTTCAAACACTGGCACACAGTGTTTCAGTGGATGTATGTTTCTATTTTTCTTGAGTAAATGCATAGAAGTGGAATTGCTGGATCATAAGGTAACTATATGCTTGGCATTTTAAAAATACATATTTTTATTGATTCTATAGAGGAAGGGAGAAGGAGAGAGATAAAAACATCAATGATGAGAGAAAATCATTGATTGGCTGCCTCCTGTACTTCCCTGTCCCCCACTGGGGATCAAGCCCACAACCCGGCTTGATGTGTCCTGACTGGGAATTGAACTGTGACCTTCTGGTTCATAGGTCGATGCTCAATCACTGAGCCATGTTGGGAGGGCTATGCTTAACATTTTTAAAAATGCCCAAATGGTTTTCCAAAGCTGGTGCACCATTTTACATTCCCAGCAGCCTCCGTGCTTTCATCTCTGTTTTCTTTCTTTAAACCAGGGGTTGACAAACTGTGTCCATGGAGCATATCTGACAGTGCCGTTTTTGTAAATAAACTTTTATACGAAGAGAGCTCAGCCCATCTATGTACCAATTATCTATAGCTGCTTTCAAGCAAAAATGGCAGAGCTGAGTACAACAGACTCTGGCCCAAAAGCCTAAACTATTTACTCTCTGGCCTTGCACAGATACAGTTTGCTGATGCTGCTTTAAACATCTTTTCCCTGCCTGTTGGGTCATTGCCACTCCTTTCTTCCAGGGACATGGCCAGGTCAATGTCCATGCAAGGAAGGCTACACAGGAGCAAAATGTGATCGCTGCCAATTTGGCTACAAGGGTTACCCAGCCTGTGTCCGCTGTGACTGCAGTCCGGCTGGCAGCGTGAACGAGGACCCGTGCTCAGAGCCTTGTCTCTGCAAGGTACGTGGAGTTTAAGCTGCCCCTGAGTTTTCTTTGAGGTTTCTAGGAAAAGGCAAACATTCCATTGGCTCAGGTGGTCAGCCCCTGAGCAAAGCAGCAAGGTCTAGGCAGAACTCCCCACTTTCTTCACACCTTCCTGAGAAGCAGGACGGTATGTTGGCCACAGGGTATGTCCTTGGACTTAGATGAGCACCTGGGTTTCTTTTTTTGGTGCCTCTGGGCAATGGCCATATATATTCCAGAGAAATTTCTGTTACTTCCTCAGTGAAACCAAATACTGCATTTCTTAGGTCTTGACTATTACTTCTTATATGACATTATTTTTCAGTTTTATGTTTGGAGGAGAACCAGGAAAACACTAAATTTCTAAGAATATTCATTAAAGGCAGGTGGCTGGGGAGGCATATTATTTGAAGATCTGATATCAATAACCATTTCCCCTATAATTCTACGGACTTTCAATTATAACTCATGTGCTTATTTCCATGTAAGCTGAGTCTTAGGCACATGTGTCATATGACTGAAATAATCTTGAGCATTTGTAAATAAGATAAACAGTCACATAGCCAAATAACATTAAAATATTTGAAAGATCAGCAAAGCTAGAAGATTAAAAAATAATAATACAAAAGTGCCACTTATATACAGGATATCCAAAAATTAACATACACCTTAACAGCTGATATCTCAATTTTGAAAATGAAATGTACTTTAATAAACACTGCCTTTATAATTATTCCAAGTGTGTGTATACAGTTTGGGGGACACCCTGTCTAATGGTCTTGCTCTAAGAGCCTTAGCCTCATTCTTGACTGCAAAATCGAATGACAGGTATTTCAAAATATCTGTTCTGGAAATATTGACATCATCAGGTTTCACATTACTCTAAGCATGTTTTTATTTACATCTTTTCTGAATCATCAAACACCTCTTTTTAATACTATGTTAATGTGATTTTTATTCCGTCTACCTACTGGTTTCAAAAGCTAATCTTTTACTCTGACTTGCAGGAAAATGTTGAAGGGAAAAATTGTGATCGCTGCAGGCCAGGATTTTATAACTTGAAGGAAAGAAACCCCCAGGGCTGCTCTGCGTGTTTCTGCTTTGGCGTGTCTGACGTCTGTGATAGTCTTTCCTGGCCCATCACTCAGGTGCGGGCACCGTCCAGGAAGTGGGACTTAATAAGTGCACCCCCCTGCCCTGCCCCAGTGGCTCAGGTGGTAGGAGCGTCGTCCCATGCATCAAAAAGGTTGTGGTTCTATTCCCTGTCAGAGCATATACCTAGGTTGCGAGTTCTATCCCCAGCCGGGACACATATGGGAGGAATCAATTGATGTTTCTCTCTCTCTGAAACAAATAAACATAATCGGGTGAGGATAAAAAAAAGTGTACCTCAAATGAGCTCTCTAGAAGTTGTGTTATGAAGCCACAGGGCTGATTTTTCCCTATAATGCCTCTCTCCTTCATTTGGAATGACAATGGGCATGAATCAAAGACAGCCTACTACTAAAGTGTTGCTACAGTGTCTTCCTAGTTATGTGTTTGTCCCCACATACATGTCCCTATTCAAAACAATAGGATATTAAGGTATTGCAGAATGCATTGTGTTTAATTTTTTTCTGTGGGAAAATGCATTCAGTTGTGGGATCGGATCTCTCCCTCCCTCCTCTCCCCCTGCCCTCCCCCTCCTCCCCGCACACACTGGTCTCAGTCCAGGAAGCACAGAACATGGGGACGTGCAGAATTTTCCAGCTCAAAGAAGCTGGAGAGGGTGGGAACAGCAGCAGGTGGCACAGGGTTGATGAGGGCAGGCAAAGGATCCCCAGTTGTTTTGGGAACGAGTTCTGGAGAGATGAGTTCAAGGGGGAGTACCAACTTGTGACTAGCAGGAAACAGTGTGATGGCAGGAGGTTAGGAAGGAGCTGCAGGGGAGAACTCTCCTCCCCATGCCCATCTCAGGAGACCTGTACTCAGCATCAGGTGGAGGTGGGGGTGCTATTCACTGAATCCCCTTTCCCTCCTTCCCTTACCTGCCATTAGGATGGTGAGGAATGGGGCAGTTGGGAGGAGGGAGGAAAAACTTCTAGCAACCCCTGAGAATGGAAGTGAGTTCCTATATGTGATCACTTGTCATCTCTATGTAGGTAACAAGTTGGGAGGATGGGATCTGAAGGCTATTTTTAGACACTTTTCGGCATTTGGCTAAAAAGCAGGGCGCAACAGCAAAGGAGAAGTTATGGTTAGCAAAGACAATTTATCCAATGCATTTATTCAGTTCTTTGCTATTTTTTAATCTAAAAATATATATGTGTGATCTTTACAACTTTGCTCACGTATTTGCTTGCACTTGATCTGGATTTGGGGGACCTGTGGCTCCTACTCAGGTTTTCTGGCTCTTTGGCAAGTAAAAGGGTCACAGGTCCTGAACTTCTATGGGCCCCGTGTGTTAAACTGCATCCCTACTTAAAACGTTCCGGGTCTCTTTATGTGGACATACTAGCTCTAGCCTGGGCTAAATCTAAGGCGACTTCTACTTCAAGTTCTAAAATTCTTGGATCCTTTTTTTAAGGTGAAAGACATGTCTGGTTGGCTGATCACCGACTTGATCAGTCCACGTAAGATCCCATCTCAGCAGGACGGTCTGGGCGGGCGTCATCAGATCAGCATCAACAACACCGCGGTCATGCAGCGGCTGACTTCCAAGTATTACTGGGCGGCCCCGCAGGCCTACCTCGGAAATAAGGTACTTCTGATGGTAGTGTCTTAGACAAAGATCTCAGAGCACATTAAGAAATAACTTGTATTGGCATTTTAACCCCTTCCCCAACAATTTTTTTGTTAAAAACGTTTCTTTTTCAGACTAATTTTTTTATTTTGGTTCTATATAGTATTTTTGATGCTGGTTATGAAAACAGTTTGTAACTCGTCTTCCTATAAACCATATTTTTTTACCATATTTTCTTAGTATACTCGTCGACGACTGAAAAAGAACATTTTGTGAAAACGAGTATACACGTTTCTGCCGGGGAAGGGGTTAAAGTCAACTTATTGGTCACTTGAGTGTTTGACAGAAAATTATACAGCGTTTACCTACACCTGCCTCGCAGGGCCTTTTTTTATCCTTGTTTGACTTTTTGTTATGGGAACTTTGTTCTTCCTGGCCCGTCACAGACAGTCTGTTGTGTGAAGTCTTATCCCTTCTCCCGAGACAGACCTGCTGTCCTCTGGGTCCCTGGGTCTTATGGGCCCCCGTGAAGTGCAGTCACATTCCTATTTGTTAGTCAGTTGTGTGCTTATTTGAGTCTGACATGTAGAAGACTTTTGGAAAGGCTGTGCATAGGGGCAATTGCTATGCCCCATGTTTTCATGATCATGGTGACGGTTCCCACATTTAAGAGCAGGTAGAATCCTTTCCATTTTAAGAAAATACTAAAGGGGATTCTACAAAGTGGAAAGTTGGTTAATATGATTCCACCTTTCCTTTCAGTGACTTTGTCCCATTCCCCCCAATCATAACACTGTTCTGCAGATTCTGATTAATCTGAAGGTATAGTCGGTGGAATCTCTCAGTAACTGGAGTGCTCTGCTCCCCTTTCCCATGAGTTCGGTGTGTTTTAATGTGATGGTATGTTTGCATAGCAGTGTAGGTCATGTAGCTTGGGAAATTTCTAGTTAACTTGATGACTATATTTTTATTGTATAGATTGTTTTATATATGTTTAATAGTGTTTATTTTTGAAAATGATTATTTTCCCATCAAATTATAATCATAGAAGATGTTTTCTATTTATAGTATGAGTATATCATCAAAGGTCATCGTTTTTTATTTTTGTGGGGGTTTTCTTGGTTTGTTCTTTGTCTCTTCAGATCGCCTCTCCAATTTTATGGTATAAATATTGGATTCTGAACATTTCATTGTTATAACATACCTGGCAAAAATAAAATCTGTATTTTACATCAAAGGATATTGATCAGGAAGAAAAATCCTCTAGTTCTTTCTTTAGCCGATCAAACAGTTTTCTTATTATTCTTCTACAGACAGGGCAATGAGATAAAAATGCTGAGATTATGGTTGTGGATCAAACTCTCCATCACCCTAGAGTATTTAAGTGAGATAAATCTATTATATGACTAGCAGACATTTATACTGTTTACCTTGGGACCTCTACAAAGGAGTACATTTTTCTTCGATGCATTTAGAAATGTCCTGCATTTTGGTAATGTCCATTACACAAAACATTCGTGTGTTATGCTTTCTTTTCACTGCCTTCAATGTGAACTTCCTTACATATCATGGCTCCTCAACCTTAAAGCCTGGTTGTTTCCAGATGACTCCTAACAACCACTTCCCCTAGCTTAGGGGCTACGGTCATGCACCCTTCCGCCCCCCGCTTGGTGTTCACTCTCACCTAAACATTCCAGCTGACTGCATTCGGTGGATTCCTGAAGTACACGGTGTCTTATGATGTTCCAGTGGAGACAGTGGACAGCGCCCTCATGTCTCATGCTGATGTCATCATTAGGGTAATTGCTTTTCCATTGCTTGGCTACAGAGCTGAAGAGCTTAGGGGGGTGACAGTTGTATGACACAAAGTGGCTGAGCGTGGCCATAGTAGCAAGGTGCTCATGGCCAGGTGGCCATTTAGCAGTGGTTTGCCTCCTCTGGATACCGGGAGAATGAGCGTGAGAATTCTGTCTTTGGGCCTATTTCTGGAATTGACTCAGGGCAGCACCTGTCACTCCTCCCTTGATTCCTACAGTTGACCGCCTTGTCACATTTTAAAGGGAGATGAGTTTTGTTCCGACGTGGACCTACCTTTTAGGCCCTCTAAGGCCCCTTCTCCCTCCTGCCACATTGCCCCCGCATGAATGATTCGGCAGCAGTGCCTGATGGGGACAGGAAATGCACTGTCACATTTGTCCTCAATCCTCACCCCTCCTGTGCCTTGTCCCTTTCTCCTCACCCCTTTTCTTCCCTGTCACACAAAGCCCCAGCTCAGCCTGGTACACAAGGTTCCCAGGGTGGGTGGGGAAATGGACACATATGTAATACCCTTTGTAATAAAAAATTAAAAAAAAATTAAATTAAAAAAAAAGAAATAAAAGAAAAAAAAAGAAACCATTTCGGGTTCTGGTGAGCAGTGTCTGCACCTCTCCGTTCCCTTTAGTGTCCTGTCCCTCCATCTCCAACCGGCAGCACTTGGAAACTACCGGCCAAACACACATTTTGTTAACAGCAATCTTTAATTTTTAAAGGAAATTTAACAGCAATTTTATGAGAAGTAGGAAGTATATTTATTTACTTTTTCTACTTTTTTTCTTTAATTAAAGGTTAGGAGTGTTGCATTGGTTGCTTTGAGGAAAACTGTGGGCAAATGCATAATTTTTTTTCTGCATCCTAGCAAAGGACACAGATTTTAGATTTATTATTCAAATCCCTCTGAGAGGAATACAATGAAATATCACTGATAGTCCCGGACCAAGAGTTATAGACCCCAGTACCCAAGGACCTACGCACAAATGAAAACCATGTTGCTGATTACAAAATTTGCTTTCATTTTTTGATCGTGACATGGAATTATAAATATATTTCCTCTTGTTTCAAAATGTTAGGGAAATGGACTCACTTTACGCACCCAGGCTGAGGGCCTGTCACTGCAGCCCTACGAAGAGTACTTCAACGTGGTTAGACTTGTTCCTGAGAACTTCCGAGACTTTAATAACAAAAGGGAGATAGATCGAGATCAGCTGATGACTGTCCTGGCCAATGTGACCCATCTCTTGATCAGAGCCAACTACAATTCTGCAAAAGTGGCTCTTTACAGGTGTGTATCGAAAAGGAGGGTACTTCACTCTTGTCTTTATTTATCATTATATATTTTAAGCTTAATATATTTTACTCAATTATTTTAAGGACACAGCTAATAGAATCAGCTGTCTTAAAAAGTTACTTTTATTACTATCGTTTTATTGAAGATGCCAGAATATTTGTCAGACAAATGTATCTAATAGGAGATAGACTTGACGTCAGGGTGAGAAACTTTCAGGGTGGTTTTCTCAGAAATGCCTGATGAGATGACAGTTTTCTGGGCCACACTGCATCTGGTTTTTACCCTCCTGATGTAAACAGTCTTAGATTTTACAGTCTATTTAAGCTAATGTGTCTATCCTTAGTCAGTTTATTACTTTGAGATTAAAATTTCTGGCAGTGCTAGGCTAAGCATAATCATTGGATGCAGCTAAAACAAATGCAGAATTACACATTTGTTAGTAAGGACAATTTATCTGTATTAGAGATGAGACAATTGACTGGATTAATTTTTCTGAAGTGTTTCAAATCGGAATGGGTGGCATAGACCGTCTTTAAGTAGCAGTGCGTCTTTGCGCCAAATACTGAAGGCATTTCCATGGAATAATGAAAGCTCCAGAAAGTGTATTATGAAAATCTTCACTTAACAAAAAAAAGTCATATCACCGTTTTGTTTGGATTTGTCTTTAAGAATCTCTTCATCTCAGGTGTTGTTTGCAAATAAGTGGGATAACGACCCCTATCTCTGCATGTAGGTTGGATTCTGTCTCTCTGGATACAGCTAGCCCTAACGTTATAGACCTGGCGCTGGCCACCGAGGTGGAGCACTGTGAATGTCCCCAAGGCTATGCAGGGATCTCCTGCGAGGTAACACTCCTGTCCTGCCTTCTTCCTTTTCCTCTTTCTTAAGGGGAAACATGCAGAGAAGGTGATGGAATGATGCACATTTGAATTTTAACTTTAGAAACCCAGCATTTCTAAACTTCAGTCTTTGAGGGACTATAGGGATGTTGGAAGCCACGTTGTTTAAAGAAATCTGGTTCCTCTGGAGGGACACTATCCTCAGCTCTTTTTCTATGTTACCTCTTTTAATGCTGGCAACAACCATACAGGCAGGCACTTCTATGCTTTCTGTTCTGCAGATTAAGAAACTGAAGTCAAATCAGAATTTGAACTTCATCCGTCTGTTAAACATCATGTGATCCTGGCTCTAATTATTTATGGTTGATTATGGTTATGAACATTTGTCATTGGTTGCAATTTCTTGGCAATCATTTTTTTTATGAAGTGATAACATTTAACTCTTGTTTTTATGAATCATTATTAATTATAAACTTTGCAGTTCATAAAGTTGGCCTAAGTTTCCACGGTGTGAATATTTTACGAAATATTTCTATGTTAAATATTTTTCAGGGTTTAAAAAAAAAATTAATACTCACCTGAGGATATGTTTTTTATTGATTTGAGAAAGAGAGGAAAGGAGAGGGGAGAGAGAGAAAGAAACATCGATTGGTTTCCTCCCATACGTGCCCCAACCGGAGATGGAATCTGCAACCCTAGTCATGTGACCTGACCAGGAATTAACCCATGACCCTTCAGTGCATGGGACAGAGCTCCAACAACTGAGCCACACAGGCTAGGACTCAGGGCATTTTTTTAACCAATGAACTTTTATTTAGATCTGAAACATTAATTTTAGGCCCAGCAAATATTTATAGATTCTGATCTCTGCGTGCATAATGCTGAGTGGATAACAAACTAACACCTCATAGCATGTGGCATATGGGAATAAAACAGCCTAGAGCCCGCAGGCAGGTAGAATTCTGGAAGTAGAAATTGAGACCAGCCACACTGCATGGGGGCAGCAGTGAACAGCTGCTGCTGGAAACCGAGTCACTGGGCTTTAGAGGGAAATTTGCTGATGTGCATGGGGCAGTGACTAAAGTAAGAACAAGAAGCTCAATACACGTTTTCAAGTGTTTTTGTTAAGCAGAAGAACTCGTTACTTAATCCAACTCTTACTCGGAAGTTGACTGACTTAAAGAATCAGAAATGGGATTTTTGGTCGTGGTCTAGGCACCGCACAGAGCTCCAGGCAGCTATCTGCTCAGTGCCCATCTGCAGACAAGGCGAGCATGGCTGTGCAGAAGTGTCAGGGAGCTTCCCACGGTCAGTGTGGATGAATGCATTTATATATTACCTATAGAATGAAAACACTCTGTCAGCATTCTTATAATAAAAAACAAATCTGTACCCCTTCCACCGTGCCCCCTGGGCACGCGCTGGTCTCCAAACGAATTGTCCCCCAGTCTACATTGTAAATGTGCTTCCTGGCTGCTGTAGCCCCGGGCAGGTGGACACAGGTCCTGGAGGTATGCACACCTGGCTTTGAATCACTCCACTGGCACAATGGGCACATTATCTAGCTGCCCCGTGTTTCAGATTCCATGTCTATAAAACAGAGGTGATATTTCTCAGAGTTGTCACAAGGACTAAGTGAATTCCTGTGTCTGGAGTGGGTCTCTGCTCCTCGTGGTCAGAGAGAGGCATCCTTGAATGCCCACATTGTCTACTCGGCACTCAGGCCCAAACGCAGACCGGTAATGCTTGCTCAGGTAAACTGATGTAGTTTGACTCAGACCTGCATTTGAACACCTTGGCAGCAACATTTAATGAATTTGAAGCAAAAGAGAAAGAAATAAAGTTGGGAGAATTGAAACACTACTAAAGTTCTGTGTGTTGTGACATGATTTCTAACAATATTGGGGGTGGGGGAGGGATACCACACTGACTCAGTAAACTTTTGTCCATTTGCTTCTACTTTTAAAAAGAAATAAGGATCTGGAATACAGTGATGGTTGCACAACTTGGTACATTTACTAAAAAATCTTTGAATTGTACCCTTAAAATGGGTCCATTTTATAAAGGCACATGAATGATGCCTTCATAAAGCTGTTTGGGGAAAATAAGAAAAAAGAAAAGAAAGAAGTTTCTCTATCCGTGGAGCACCGAGCAGTGTATGTTTCTAATAGATTGGGAAGGTGGTTTCAGCAGCCTGTCCTTCCTTTGCAGTCCTGCCTCTCTGGCTATTTCCGCGTGGATGGAATACTCTTTGGAGGAATTTGTCAGCCCTGTGAATGCCACGGCCATGCAGCTGAGTGTGATATTCAAGGCGTTTGCTTTGTGAGTCTTACCGAAACCTTCTGCCCCCACTCCTACCCACCCCATAGTCCCCTGCTGTGCAGAAGTGATTTTTTAAAAACATGATTCCTCCGGTAATGGGAGAATATGTCTCCCCTTGAAACCCCAAAGGAAATTTGCAGATTTAAGTTCATGTCATAAAATATTTCCTGCTTTCCCCCTCTGTTTTGAAAAATATGTTACTTTGGTGATAGTAAAAAAGGGTATATAACTTCATTGTAGGTTTTTATTAGAATAATGAAAAGTAATTATTTACTTTGCAAGATTATAAAACCAAAAAAGCCATATAAAGGTAGAAAACGTTGTCCACTGATTAAATAACAAGGATCAGATGTTTAAATGCAAATGCAAGGATTTTTTAAAAAATTATATATCATGAGAAGGATAATAAAACTAATAATCACACTCGTGTACAATATGTAATGCTTTATGGTTGTTAGCTTGAATCAACTCTTTAAACAAATACTTCTTTCATGCAATATGAGCTGAAACAGCGCTTAGCAAATATGTAATTAATCTTGAGAATGAGCTTTGGGGCAGATACAGGGCAAGACTTGGTTTTTAACTTCAATCAGGAATTGTTTTAGGCTCTTATGCCTGGAAGCCAGGCCACACTCCGGAGTTTTGTTGGATTCACTCCCCACAGATGGAGTGAATGCATGTGTTAATTAGCTGAATCCCATTCATCCTACAGGGATATGTTCAAAAAATGATCAGAACCCGGGAGAGGAGCCTGGCAAGATGCCAGGGATGGCTTTTTCTCTCCAGAGCCCAATTGTTCTTTATTCTGTAAGTACAGCATTCATTCCGTTCTTTGTTCATGCCTTTGTTCTCTAAGTAGAGTGTCTATAGAACTGTGTGAAATGATGGCTTACACACAGGCTCAGTCCTCTGGGCTGTTGCCTCAGGCACGCAGCTTCCCACAGCTGGATGAGGTTGTTCCTTTGAATCGTCTCTCCCTTTGCCAGTGGGGTGTGCAAGGCCAGCCTGGCAGAGGCTTTTGGCAGCATCTGGGGTGGTCGCAGGTCGTGGCCCTGCCACCTATGGCTCCAGTTGCAGGTAGGCTGGAGGATATCCGCACATGCTCGCATTAGTATGTATTTACAAAAACGGGCACTCGCATTTAAGTGGAAATGCCAACAGCAACTGCCCTTAAAGCTCTGTCACCACAAATGGTAATTTTTATAGTTTGAAATTTTTGGAAATAATTTTAGATTTACAAAAGGGTTACCAAAGTAGAGTTCCTGTATACGCGTCACCCTACTTTCCCTAACACTCACATCTTGAATCACCTAGTAGCTATCAAAGCTAAGAAATTAACACTGGCACAGTCCCATCAACTAAACTGCAGACTGCACTCAGATTCCGTCAGTTTTCCATTCCTGTCCTTTCTCCTTTCAAACCCAGGACCCCACACTGCACGTGGTGCTCTTGTCTCCTTTAACCCGTGACAGCGTCTATTCTCTCCTTGCCTTTATGGTGGAGGCACTTTTGAAGAGCGCTGGGCCTTCTGTGGAATGTCCCTCCGCTGGGCTGGGCTGTTTTCTCACGATTAGGTGGAGGTTATGCATTTGGGGCAGGTAGATATGGAGGTGTTGTATCGCCAGTGTCCCCGGTTTTGTCACTATCCTCTTCCTGGGGCTGTTAGCCAAGGTCACTTGAATAAGGTGGTGTCTGCCAGCATTTTCCAGAGTAAAGTTATTTTCCTTTTTAAATAAGTAATGTTTGAAGAAGCAAAGATAATAAAAAATTTAGATATTTAAGGAATATCAGACTTGGTAGCATCATTTCCCTGTTTAATCTAACTTGGCTTTATTCTGTTCTGTTTTTAAAAGAAACCTTTACTTCTGCCTTTTGTGTAGCTGTGTATAGCCCTTGACCTTGTACATAGCTCTCTAGCTTTCAGAAATTAACCTTTTATTTATGGTTTATTAGAGAGAAGTTTCCATTTTTCCTTAGTGTTCCTATTCTTTAAGACTTCATCACTTGAATAGCAGTTTTAGATTACAGCAAAATAGGAAGGTATAGAGATTTCCATATATGTCCTGCCCTCACCCATGTACATTCTCCCCCATAATCAGCACCTCCCACAAGAGGGGTGCATTTTGTTACAACCGATGAACCCACACTGACACATCATGATCACCCCAAATCCATAGTTTACCTCAGCCTTTATTCTTTTCTCTGAGTTCTCCCTGTTCTTGTCCCAGAGAAACCAGTTTCTTTGCTTTGCAAAGAGAGGAGCATAAAATGCAGCTGTGCACGTCTTGGGCCCTCATGTCTTTCCTTTCCAATCAAGAGAAGATGTTTTACTTCCCCAGTTTCATGAGCCTTCCATCCTTCGCATACCAGACCCACCAACAGAGATGGTCACGTAGGAGGATGGTGGCACACACCTGAGAAAACACTGAAGCAAACCCTCGGAAGGTTCTGTAAAAGAGCTACAGAACAGTTTTCCCAAAGAGAAAGAAGACCCCATATGGCCCTTTGAGCAAAGAGAACATATCACAGGCATGTTGCAATTGTACATAATCAAATGCATTTTAATGAAGCTAGTTATTTTGTGTAAGCTTATGTAATTGCTTATCAAGGCCAATTGCATTTTTAATTGATTTGTACTGATTATCAAAACCAAGGGGGGTAGGGAAAATGAAAAGAGTCTAAGATGTTGCTACTAAAATATCATCTGAGGACCAGCAGCATGGGTGTCATCTGGGAGCCTTTTTAGAAATGCAGAATCTCAGGCCCCTCTCAGACCTCTGGAGTCGGAATCAATAATTAACTCAGGTGATTTGGGTACACGTTCAAGTTTAGAAGCTCTGGTCTAGGGTAACCTTAAACGAAATTCATGAAACCCTGGTACATAAGGATGTAATACAAATGTTTATAGTCCCCAATGAAATTTACTCTCTGGGAAAACTTTCATCAACCTTGGGAATCATAGAAAAGGATATAGTTAGAAACTGGGCATATTATTTAAGTTGTTGGATGGAGAACATGTTTGTAAAATTAGTGGCTTTAGGAGGAGGGTGGACACCAGGGGAGAGGACAGGAGAGGAGAGGAGAGGACTCACAGGTGGGTGATGACAGGCAGGGGTAGGTAGAGGTCAGAGGAGAAAGCTCCGGGTGACACCTGCACAGGGATGAGGTCGATGGGGCACCCAGGGAGGAAAGAATGTGCAGAGCAGGGGCAGGGTTCCCTGGAGCCATACAACTGCCTCCTCAGCCGGCGTGACCATCTCCTTTCTCCTGTGCACCTCCTGCACATCTAACTCAGGGTGATTTTACTTTTTAAAGAGATGTTTTCAATGGAAATGTCTTTAGTATTTATTCATTTTTTCCCATTTGTGATGCTCTTTGCTCCTTGATGTAAATCCAGATTTCATCTGGATCTGTTTCTGCCACCTGAAGAACTATTTCAGCATTTCTCCCCTGCAATCTGATGGCTGACAGATTCTCTTATCTTTTGTTTATCTGAAAAAGGCTTTCTTTTACCTTCACTGCTGAAATATGTTTTCACACATTTTTCTTTCAGTGCTTGAAAGTTGTTCCGTTTGCTTATGGCTTGCAGTGTTTCAAATGGAAAGTCGAGTGCAGTTCTTATCTGTATGACGCTCTGTGTGCTGTGTGTTTTTTCTCTGCCTGCTTTTCAGATTTTTCTCCTGGTGATGGATTACATTTTCTTCTTCCATTCATATTTAGTAGTTTTCATTCCCCATTTTTACAAAAATACTGTATTTGGAAATGATTTCAAATTTATGCAAATATTATAGGAATAGAATAGTACTTAGAATATCCACCACTTACCCAGATTCACCTACTATTCATAGTTTTCCCTGTTTATTATTCTCATTATTTACCTATCTAATCATGATTCTTTAAAACTACCTGCCAATAAGTTGTATACATTATGTCCATTTATCTTTAAATATTTCAGTATGTATGTCCTGAGAATAAGTATATGCTGTTATGTAATCTTAGCACAGTTATTAACTGCAATAAATTTAACATGAATACTCTAATATTTTTCTAATTTACCATCTATTTTTCAACGTTGTCAACCGACTCAATTATGTCTTTTACTAGAGGCCCAGTGCATCCATGCATTGGTGGTGTCCCTCCGCCTGGCCTGCGGGGATGAGGTCAAAACTGGCCTCTCTGACATCCCCCGAGGGGTCCCGGATTGTGAGAGGGCAGTTCTTGGCTGATGCACCTCAGAATCGGGCTCCCTCCTCTCTGGTTCTGGGTGCGTCACCCGAGAACCTCAGTTGCCAAGTCACCTCAGCTCAGCAGCTCCTGCATTGAGTGTCTGGCCCCTGGTGGTCAATGCACATCATAGCTGCCAGTCAAAGCATATGCCCCTGGTGGTCATTGCATGTCATAGCTGCTGGTCAGATGGTTGAACAGTGGCTTACGCTTTTATATATATAGATAGCATTTTCCCCCTCCATTACAGAACCCCATCTAGGATTGGATATTTTATTTTATTGTCATGTCTCTTTAGTCTCCTTTACTCTGAAATATTTGCACAGCATTTCTTTGTCTTTAATGGCATTGGCATCTTGAAGGATATAATAATTTTCCAAAAAATAGAATGTCACTCCTTTGGGCTTCTTCTCTTATTTTCCTGTGAATAGATTCGGGTTATACTTTTCCAGCCAGAATACTTCATTAGTGTGTCCTTCTCAGAACATGTCCACCCCCTCACTGGTGGTGTTCATTCTTTGGGTTATACTTTTCCAGCCAGAATATTTCATTAGTGTGTCCTTCTCAGAACATGGCATGTTGGAGCCCACCATGTCCACCCCCTCACTGGTGGTGTTCATTCTGATCGCATAGGCTGGGTGTTGGTCCACTATATATTCACTGTTCTTTTCTTTTGTAATTAGTCATCAGTTTGAGGGGGACACTTTTAGACCATGCAAGTATCCTATTATCAAACTTCCCCTTAGGTTTTACAGTCATTGAGGATTCTTGCCCAACCAGTACCCACTACAATGTCTGTAAAAGGATGGCTCTCCACCTCCAGCCCTTCCCCCATGCTGGTCGGTTGGCAGGAAGCATACTTCCACAAGCAAAAACCCTCTCTCCTCCCCACATCTTTATTGGTTTACTTCCTTGCTTTCTGTCTGAATTCACGAATTCCAAATTCTCCCATATTTGGGCAGTGTGAGCATATCCAGTAGTTTTTGATTGTGTGATGAATACTGTTCGGTGAATGTTATTATATTGTTGAGTTTTTAGATTCTGTTGCTTTTGTTTTAAAGAACTTGGGAATTCGTTTTGGTAGACAGGTAAGTTCCTGCATGTCAGCATGATTGTTTCAAGGCTTGTAATAAAAACTTCGTGGGGCCGGTTCTTGTACAGGTTTTACTCTGTGGCAGGGTTAGCAGGACTAGGAACTAATTTTGCATCCGGGGTCTCTACTGAGTGTTTACTGGGGTCTCCCACACAGACTGCTTAGCATTCTAATGTCTTGTGAGTTCTGAATTTTTCAGCTTATGGGTTACCTGTCTTTCTTTGGCCTCAAGGAGTGGTGTTCTTCACACAAGCAGCTTAGTATTCAGTAGCTATTAGAAGGGGTCTCCCAAGTAGATTTCTGGAGCTCTTGCTCTAAGAAGCCCAAATTCTAGCAGGTTCGTCCTTCCTAAACTCTGACCCTCCTACCCCTCCCCCGTGCTGCTTGGCAGGTGTCTCCAGGCAGAAAGACATGCGGTTGCAGGACTCATCCCAATGTCTTCGTTCTCTCGGAATCACAGACCTGCACCCTCCGTTGCCCGGCGCCTGAGAACAGTTGCGTTATAGATCTGTCCCCGTTTTCTAGTTGTTTCCTGCAGAAAGACAACAGGGTACCAGTTACACTGATGAGGCTGGAAATGAAAGCTCTTAGGCTTCCATTTATACCCATTAAAATTGTTATTAATCTGTCAACAGGCAACCCCTCCGCATATAACAGTTTTTAGCATTTTACCTTGTTTTTTTTCATTGTACTTAAAGTTGTTTTTGATGGATCTGAGAATCCTCTACAGAACCTAGAGTTGAGCCGTCTTTTCCTGTGTGTGTCCTAGGACTGCGAGCACAGCACCACCGGGGCCCACTGTGAGCAGTGCCTGCCTGGCTTCTACGGGCGGCCTGCCCGAGGGACTCCTGGGGACTGCCAGCCTTGTGCCTGCCCCCTCGCCTCAGCCTCCAACAAGTAAGCTGGCAACTGACAGGGCCAGAATTTCCATCCAGATGTGTGCTGATAGCTCCAGAGCAGCACTGTGTGTGCAATGAGAGTGTGGATTTTGCCCAGTGGTCATTAATTAGGGTTTAAAAATGGAGGAATGGATTCTCTTTTTGAAAAAAAAGTTTGGTGTCTTAATTTATGCAAAGAAAGTTGTGTGATTGCAAGGACATTTGCATACTTTGTTTCCCTTTTGGTCTAAACTTGGTCATCAATTCTTTCATAAAGTGTATACTGTATGCCTACCACTGGGCTAGGAGGTATAGGGGATACAGAGATGAATTAAACATGTTCTTGGGCTTTAAAAGTTTTTGATATAATGATCAAAATATTCAGCTCATTGAGAATGGGAAGATTTCATTTAATTTATTAAAGATATTTATTGCACACCTATGATATACTGGGTATTGTGGTAGGTACTCTGAGTATCAAACCGTTCAGTGTGGCTGCCCGCCCCCAGAATCTACAGTGTGGTCATGTCCACAGGGAAGGCATGTCCACTGGACGGTGGGAATTGACCAGGAACGATTCTGAGGAAGCTCTTGATCTGAGTCTTGAAGGGTGAGAAGGAATTTGAAGGCAGCAGAGAAGGGCATCGTAGGGCACTGAGTGTGGGCAGCGGCAGCATCAGCAGATTCGTCAGGAATGAGGAATGCAGGCGGTCGGAGCACAGGTGCGAGGGCAGGTGGAAGAGACAGTCAAGTGCAAGGCCTTGCACATCATGCTGGGCCGTGCTTCCTGCAGGCCAGCGGTTTGAAAGCCGCCCTCTCCCTCACTGGTTTACCCTTTAGAACTTCCTCCACCCACATCCAGAAATTCCCCCATGGGAATTAGCCCAGTGTGTAAAACAGATACAATCAGGGCTACTGGGATGAAATTGTGAGGGACTATTATCCACCCCGATACCCCCTTCTCAGGCCTCCCCAAGACTCAGGACTAGTGTGAAGGGACCTGGGTCAGCAGAGGGGTCCTTTGGGAAATGTGATTACTGAAGTGTGTAAGCCAGCTCACTCGTGCCTGTGTGGACTGGGCTCAGAGGCAGGCAGACCACGCCAGGGAACCCAGAGGAGAGGAACTCAGAGCAGGCCTCTTGGAGGAAGTGACAGCTGAGCGTTGAGGTTCAACTGGGTGAATCCAGGCAGAGAGGGGGAGAAGTGCACTCTGGGTTGAGGGATGAGCAGGTGTGAGGATCTGGTGTCCGTAGGCTTGACTGTGAGACCAGGGCCTTGGGATCTGGGCTAAATTTTGAGGACTCAGTTAAAGTTTTTAAGGACAGGAGTGGTAGAAATTAAGCACTTAAACTATTTAGAAATTCTACACAATCCACTGGAAAATTGCATTCACTTCTAATGTGTTGACAGTTTCAGCCCCACGTGCCACCTGGACGATGGAGATGAAGTGGTGTGTGACCAGTGTGCCCGGGGATACTCAGGGACTTGGTGCGAGAGGTACATTGTATCGCTCAACTGTTTCCAAAAGTTGCATTGAAAATTTGTTTTAATATAATTTCTGTGTGTTTATTGTTAAATGTGTAGTTAAGTGTGGTTGTAGTGTTTTGGCATGTAATCGTCATTTCATGTAATTATAGAGAAAATCCAGTATATCGACTAAAAATTAATGTTGAAACCTCCTGGGAATTTTGTGAGCTCCTTGAGCTAATCTGAGTTCTCATGAATAACAATGGGAATCACTGACGGGTCAGTATTTACTGTTCACACATTTAAAGATCCCATTACCCTGAATAATTCCATGGGAGTGGTGGTGTGATTAATAGCTGTCTTCTGGAGCCTGAAGGTCAATGTTGCCTGTTCCCACCTGTAAGTCTCAGTGCAGAGTCTGGTTACAGTCCGTAGGAAAGGGTGACATCCCTGAGTGCTGGGGCCAGGCGCACATTCCCTTGGATTTATGGCTCATTTTGGAGCCATAAATGAGTGAAGGAAATCTGTGAATGCCTGAACTTAGAGTTGCATTCCTTTCACAGTAAATCTTATGTAACAGGAGGCAGTCTGATTGATTAACCATTCAGAGAACCCCTGAATGGTGGGGTAATGTCAAGAGAAATGGAATTTATTTGGATCCCTCTTTTGATGTTTTATGCAGATGCGCAGACGGTTACTACGGAAACCCAACAGTGCCCGGGGAATCCTGTGTTCCCTGCAACTGCAGCGGGAATGTCGACCCCTTGGAGGCCGGGCACTGTGACTCCGTCACTGGAGAATGTCTGCGGTGCATTGGGAACACGGATGGCGCCCACTGTGAGAGGTGTGCTGACGGGTTCTACGGAGATGCTGTGACTGCTAAAAATTGCCGAGGTGAGTGTCTGGGCCGTGAAGTCAGTCCATTACTCGTGACCCTGTGAAGTCTCCATCCATTTACTTACAGGTGTCAAAAAGTGCTGAGGCAGCTTTATCTGAGTGGTTCTTGTGTTAATGCTGGACATAGACCCAATACCTGAGCCGTCCTCAGGGTAGTTTGATCAGTTACTCCACTTGAAGGTCAGATGGCCTGGAAAAGATGCATGCTTCCGGGTGAGGGGAAAGTGGGAGTTTACAAAGTGCTGGGCACCACTCCCAGGGACTGAGATGAAGCAGGAGTGATGCTCAAAGCCTGTCACGTTTGTGAGGGAGATGCTTAGGGGTTTCATGAAGCAGATGGGCTTTCCAGCTGTGGCGTGGGAAGTAGGGAGACGCTAGCCCTGGAAACTGGCATGTCTCAGCGGTCTGTGCCTCGCCCAGCCATCCCACATCGCCCTGCAGGGTTCTGCTTAGGTCCTTGAAATTATGGATCAGGTAGAATCACTCATTGAGGAAAAGTAGATTTTCCTGTGTCCCGAATGACAGAATTAAAGCCCAAAAGCCAAGACAGCTCTCAGATTTTTATTTTTTGCACAGTCTTGAAAGAGCGAAAAATCTAAAATGTCAATTATTACATTTTTTTGGATAATTTTTCTATAAATGCGGAAGGCCTACTACGCTATTACAATGTTGAGACACAAGATGGTGCTAGAGATACAGGAAAATATTCGAATAGGCACACATCCACCGAACAACAAGGTTTCATAGCCCTGGGCCAATCAACCTGATCTTCAGCAGTGTGGCCACCTTCATAGCTTACCATATGATTGTTAATCACATCAATCTAATCATATAGATACATTGATAACTTGTATTTTTATAAAGCTTCAAAGTTTATGGAATGCTTTTACAGTTCTCATGATGTTTCTTTTCATCTTGGCCATTTATTAAGTATCTATTACTTCCCAGGCACTTTTTATTTCCTGCATTTCTAAGTACTGCAATAGGAGCTGGGAATTTATGATTCAAGTCTTTTGGGGAGCCACACATGATGGTGTAGAGAAGCACCTATGGGGCGCTCTTAGGCTTTGGAGTATGACTAATGTAGGGTAGAGTCCAGGGTTGATTACTGACCAACTGTATAGCCCCAGGCAAATGTGTTAACCTCTCTATGAGCCACTATTTTCTTATACATAAAATGGATTTAATCATATATAATATATATATTAAGATCTTTCTGAGAGGTCAAAGGGATAACAAATTTGAAATTGTAGACATTAAATAAATGATAGCTATTATATTTGGCAACTATTTTAAATTAGCATTATTTATAACATGAACAATTTTTAAATTAATAATTGGTATTATAATTGTTATAGAAGGATGTAGAAGTTGTGTGACCTATGGCAAGTTCCATATCTTTCTAAGGTTTAGATTTCATGTGGAAAATTACAGTGCTTTCCTCCTAAGTTTGTTACAAAGGTTAAATGAAATATTGCCTGGAATCTGACAGGCACAAACTGACTGGCACATAGTGTGATAAACATGATTTGTTATTATCATCATCAATGTTTTGTGATGCTCGGAGTGAACTTTGAATTTTCCCCAGAGGGAAGGGAAGCAGTGTGTGAGACACAGAGGGGGAGGCGCAGGGGAAAAACAGGGAGAAACCAACGAGTGGGTATCCAGAAACCTTGCTAAGAAAGGTCCAAAAGAGAGTGGTCAGAGGGTCCCAGCCCGAAGAAAGGTAGGGCAAGATGAAGACTGAGAATCTGCTCACTGAACTTGCACTTGGGAAGTCCCTGGAGGCTTTGGGAGGAGTTGTTTTAGCAGATAAGGTGCCAGGACAGAGCCTGCTAAGGAGAAGGGAGGGAGAGGATAGGCATCAGGGAGATGGAACCTTGGAGAGAAAGGAGAGAGAGAGAGAGAGAGAGTTCAGTGGGACGCCGTTGAGGATGGTTGGACGCTGAGGAATGTTTGGAATACAGGTTTTATTATTAATTAGGTAAGGCCAGCAGATCCGAGACAACTAGCATTGAGGGCATAGTTTGTTACTCACAGATCCCAGCATGGGGGTTGCCATGTGGGAAGCGCCCCGGTTGGTAGGGAGGGGACAGGTAAGCTAGAGCCTTTCTTGTGGTTTCCACAGGAGGAAAGGGTGAGGCAGGGTAAACAGGTTTAGAGTTGGTTAGTTTCAATGATTTCAGCAGGCTTTGGGGCACAGGGGCTGCCCATAGCTATCTCAGGCATGGCCCTGGAGTGATTAGGGCAGGTGGATAGTGGGATGTGAGAGCCCAAATGAACTTGAGATCCAGTAACGAAGGCAGTGTGGGCTCTGGAGTGGCTGGCGTGCATGTGGAAGGTGTTGTAGCTGTTTACTGTCTCTAGGAATTGACAGGCCCTGGGAGGGACAGTCTTTCCAGAGTCTGCAAGGTCCCAGAAGGGAAAGCAGCAGAAATGCAGGAAATAAAAGGGCATGTTTAATAGAAAGAGTTAGTGGCGCGTTCACAGTTTGGCTACAGGAATGGACAGAGCAGGCATGCGCAGCCCTGAATGGGGCCCACAGCACTTCACTGGCCTCCCAGGAGCTGCTAGCATCCCACTTACACCAGAGCAAACCTCCGGTGACAGCGGGGCCCGGTGGTTGGCCATAGTCAGTCAAGGAGGCAAATCCCACCTTCCTCTGACCTCTCGCCTTCCAACTCCCATGTCTCAGGGCTCTGCCTCCCACTGCAGTGTGCTGCCACATGGGTGTGCCTGCGCTTAAGATATTCCCAGTTTTTCTTTTCTTCTTCACATCGCTGTACCATATGACAGAGGTGGTGCATTTGCTGAATCCAAGTATTCATAAATAGTACATGTCCCTGGGATATTTTGTCAGTGAGCTTATCAAACATTTTAAGTAAAGAGCATATTGACAGCTGTGGAATGAATATCGATTAAACATTTCATGGACCCATTAAATTGCATCACTTTAAAAAGGTGGGGATTTTTGTAGCTGTCTCATCAACATTATAATTGTAGATAAGATGGAAAAGTCTGGCCTGAAGGTAAGTATATTAGAACTACAAATGACTCATGAGTTAGAACAGGGAAATATTTTTCATTAAATTATGGAATATCATATTTATCTAGATTGGCATATCTGAGCTTTAAAATAGATATCATTGGAGTGAGAGCAAATGGTTAAGTTGATTTTTAAATCTTCATTGCATATTTTTTAATGAAACTTTGTGGGTATACATTAGTGGTTCATTTTTAAAATTTCAAGGAATTGATGAAATTGGTCAAGTTAGTTTGCTAATTATTATCTTAATAGCTTCAGTAGTTTTTTTTCCTTTGTGATGATTTCTTCTACCAACCTTATTTTTGCTTACTCTTTAGAAAAATACGAAATATTTAAAGTTATTGCAAAGTTATATATGTATTTTTTTTTAAGTTTTGTGACCTGAAATGAGAATGTTTACACATTTTCCTGTGGGGACTGTGGGCTCTTACTGTAACGGACAGGAAATGAGCAATGTGTTTGTGTGCGCCAGCCTGTGAGTGCCATGGGAAGGGCTCCCTCTCTGACATCTGCCATCCTGAGACTGGGCTGTGCAGCTGCCGAGCACGTGTGACCGGAGAGCAGTGTGACCAGTGCTTGGTAAGATGCCTGCCGGTCATTGCATGCAATTAGAGTACCTGTCAGCGTGTCTATAGTTAACACCTTGACCTTGGTTCAAAGACCGTGAATCCGTGACTGCTGGTTAGAGCTAAGGCCCCAACGTGGCTGGTTGTGCTGTGCATCCCTATCTAGGGAGGGTGTATACAGCTTACAAAAGAATGAGGTCACGACACTTTATGATTCTATGAAACATGCTATGTTTGATTTGGAAAACATTCTAATACTGTCAGTCACTTGTTAAAACGTGTTTTGCTTCCACATTTCTGCCCCTTCTGTGAAACAGCATGGCTATTACGGGTTGGACACGGGGCTCGGCTGCCTGCCCTGTAACTGCAGCCCGTCAGGCTCCCTGTCGGACGACTGCACGGAGGAAGGCCAGTGTCACTGCATGCCGGGCGTAGCTGGGAAACGGTGCGACAGGTGTGCGCGTGGCTTCTATGCATTCCAGGACGGTGGCTGTACACGTAAGCTTTCGAACTCATTGAGACAGTATCATATTCCCCAGACTTTTCTTTGGGCCCTTCTTCGACTCCTAAATCTGAAGTGCCTATACTCTTTCTCTTTTGAACATGTAGGATTTCATACCTCTTCTCTGTTTGCCTATTCTGGGTACATCCATAACCTTTGGTCAGGTTCTACTAATTGTGTGAGCTTAGATTAATTACTTAGCTTCGCTTAGCTTTAGTTTCCTCCTTTGTAAAATGGAGAAGCTAAGTATAGTCTCCATCCAGGAGTTATTTTTAAAGTTGTACATAGTCTGTAACACAGCATTTGGCATACAGAACATGCTTGCTAAATATGAGCTCTATCTTCCCCCTCACCCCCCTCCCACCCTGGTCCAGTCTTTTCTTTCTCCCACTGCATCCCAATTACCTCTCTTTCAGCAGCATCTCCTGACTGGGAGGAGCCATCACCTCCCATGAGACACAAAGGGATCTTGGGAATCATGTGGTCTCTTTGGATTATTAATAAAAGGGAGTAACTTGTAGCACCAGCTCTTACCCCTTCAGTTGCCCAAGATGTGTTGCCCTGAAACATCCCCATCTGTCTTTGCCGTAGCCTGTGACTGCGCTGACACTCAGAACACATGTGACCCAGAATCAGGGGAGTGTGTCTGCCCTCCTCACACTCGAGGCGTGAGATGTGAAGAATGTGAGGACGGATACTGGGGCTACGACCTGGAGCTCGGATGCCAGGTGTGTGCTCTGACCTCTGCATCTTCTTACCTGAGAACTACTTTGCTGTAGCAAGTTTTATTCCTCTTCTTTTATCTATTAGCGTGATTTTTCACCTGTGGAATAGCTATATTTAAAATCCAGTGTGGATTATAGGAATCAAAGTGAAAAAAGCTGCACCCTTAAAATACATTATTCTAAATTTTCTTCAAGAATCTAGCTGTGGGATTGATGGCTAAAAGATAAAAAATTTATTTTAGTGCCTTTAAAATATACTCTGCAATGTATGCTACCTTTCAGGATAAGGACATAACTCACTTTACTGTGGGGCTTATGTCTAGTCTTCCAGGTTTCCAATTTGCTTTTTTAAAAAATATATATATTTTTATTGATTTCAGAGAGGAAGGAAAAGGGAGAGAGAGGTAGAAACATCAATGATGAGAGAGAATCATCGATCAGCTGCCTCCTGCATTCCCCACACTGGGGATCGAGTCCACTACCCAGGCAATCGAACCATGACATCCTGGTTCATAGGTTAGCACTCAACCACTGAGCTATGCTGGCTGGGCAGGGTTCCAATTTTCTATGTAACTTTCTTCAGTTAAACTTAGATATAGTTTGTGTTTTGAAAATAGAAAAATCACTTGGCTTCTAAAAGAATGTTGCTGAACTGTTTGGATGTATTAAGCAGATTGAATTTCTGGTCACAGTCTTGGTCCCATGTGCTTGTGCCACAAAAATGCACAGATGTCCAGCAATGCAGTCCCTGCCTCCTGCTGGCATGTGGGGAAGTGAATCCATGTGGCAACATCGAGAGGGACCATTCATTTGTATGATTTCCCCACATTTAGTGTTTTCCTGTAATCCCAGTGTGTGCACATGGAAATGTAGAAGCTGCCTTTTTATTTACTTAAGCTTTTTCTTTCAGGCCTGCAATTGCAGTAGTGAAGGGTCAGCCAGTCATCGATGCGAGGTGCTCACTGGCCATTGCCAGTGTAAGCCTGTCTTTGGTGGACCGAGCTGCCATCAGTGCGCCCTGGGTTTCCGAGACTTTCCAGACTGTGTGGCCTGTGACTGTGACCTGAGAGGGACCGTGGTGGACACCTGTGATGAGGAACAGGGTCTGTGCAGCTGTGCACAGGGAACTGGTACCTGCTCTTGTAAGGTATGTGTCCTTGGCACCCCACTTTTTTCCTCTCTCTCACTCCTCATTATGACTTTTGGGCTTTTAACTAAGCACTAGGCTTTAGGCCTCTCCTAATGAGTCCAAGCTACCTTCTAGGTCTGAGTAAGTCTGTGTATACTCTTCTAGAACTATGAATGATTCCTTAAATGGGCTCTTTACTGATTATTACAAGTCAGACGATGAAACTGATTTGAGAAACACTGAGTTTTCTATCATGTGCTTCAGTTGGCCGAGTAGCTGATTTGTCTTGGGCATACAGGTAAAATAGATGCACAGGGTTACGAAGACTTATGATTTTAGAGCTGGTAAGTAATTAATTCTTTGTATGTGCTAGAAGACTAAAGGGAATTCGTGTTTCTTATTTTCCCAGGGGGTAAGATTTCAACCTCATGCTTATTTCCATTAGTTTTCCCATAGGGCTTTGTTATAAGGAGGTCATTGGCCACCTTCTCTGGTCCTTCTCTGGGTCTGGCGTGATGGAAGCCAGACGGTAGTGGTGATTAGTGACTCGGGATGAGGCAGGGAAAACTCATATACGTACTGTGGCCAGGGAGTAATGGAAGCATCCATGAATACCTTTGGCCTCCCTATTCGTGACAGCAGTTCTCATTATACATGGTCTGAATTGGCGGGACCTGGTTCATGCTTCTCCACCCATCATCAGAGTCACCTGGGACCTCCAGAAGGATTCTGGGTCCCCTCCATGAGGCTCTCATCAGGGATTCTGTATTTTTCTAAAGTGTCCAAGACAATTCTGATCATCAGCTATGTTTGGGAGTCACTGATTGAGTTTTTGAGAGAACTAATCCTCAGAGAGGTTAAGGAACAGCTAGTTCAGAGATGTTTGTTGATCCAAAATTATTTAGATGATTTGGTTTATTTCATGTCTGTTTCTTCAGAAATCATATATTTTTTCAGGTAAAAACGAGTCTAATATTTCTTCCCCTTTAGGAAAATGTCCTTGGCCTTCAATGCAATGAGTGTCGGGCCGGTACCTTTGCTCTCCATGCTGACAACCCTCAGGGCTGCACCCCGTGCTTCTGCTTTGGGCTGTCACAGCTCTGCTCGGAGCTGGAGGGTTATGTGAGGACACCGGTGAGTTAGGCATGCAGTTAACATGTTCTGTTTTTAAGCCTGAACCCTTGGGATTTGGGCGGGGCTAAGGAGAAAGTTCAAGTTCTTAAATTTTGCTTTTATGGCATCAGAAACACTGAGACACTAATTTGGGTTTCTTATGAATCAGAATCCTGCTTCTGCCGTCCAAAGAAATATATGGAGCTGGAACTTAAAGCATTCCGTGTTGCTCCTTAGCTGATCTATCAAAAGCTTTAGTTGGAGAGGAGAGAAACTGCAACGTCTCAAAGGTCTCTATATAACTGAGCATTGTCCCCATATAGCAACAGTTTGACCCTAAATGCTTAAAACACTTTCTGGTAATTTTAATCCAGAAGTTTAAGATTAAAGGAAAAGTCTTCATTATTCGGGTTTTCATTATTCGGGTTTTAATAATGAAGCTATCATGTCTGGGAAATAGTGGCAGAATCTGACAAATCAAAGGTATGGAGGTAAGTCGTGTTCTAAAGTGCATTTTCCCTCCCTTCCATGACTAGATAACGCTGGGCTCAGATCCTCCTCTTCTGCGAGTGGTTTCTCAGAGCAACCTCCGGGGCACGACCCAGGGGGTGTATTACCAGGCCCCTGACGTGCTCCTGGACGCTGTGACCATCAGGCGGCACGTCCACGCAGAGCCGTTTTACTGGCGGCTGCCGGAGCAGTTCCAGGGAGACCAGGTGAGGCCCACACCCAGCCGAGAGCGGTGCCTGCTCCCGGGGATCCTGGTGTCATTTGAATCACTGCAGACTGTGCCGGCCTATCCTTCACCGAAGAGGTTATTAATTTCCTCTTCCAAGTGGGGATGGAAAAGTTTAACACTTATACAAATCCTCCTAACTGGATGGGTTAATTTTCTAGTCTTTTAAAAATTCAAATCATAATCTCTTTTTCTTTTAAAGCAGTCATTCAAAAAATATTTATTGTTTTTACTGATATAAGCTCAATACAAGCCTGGCTGCTATGCCTACAAGGTTCTTTCTCAGAAATTGTCCAGTTTCGGGGAAAGAACATTGAAGCCATCACTTGCATTTTTGTTTATATAAACATTGGAATCTGTATGTGAATTCACCCTGATGGTTAAAATGTGCACATATACACCCAGTGAGCCTACAGAGATAGGTAATTTGTAATTCAAAGGAGCTTGAAAATAATTGGGACCATTGCTACGTTGATTGTTATTTTGGAACTTACTGTTGTCAGTGTCATTAAGAGGATGCTGTGGGAGGTGATGGATGTGACTGTGATGGGGGTGATGGTTTCACAGGTGTATACTTATCCCCAAACTCATCAAGTTATATACATTAAATATATACGGCTTTTTACAGCCAATTGTGCCTCAATAAAGTGGTTAAAAAAACAACTGTACTGTAGTCCACATTTGAGTGTAGAAGGGGTGAAGGGAGGGTGAAGTGGGTAAAGGGGTCAAATATTATATAGTAAAGGAAGGAAGCTAGCCTTTGGATGCACAAAAGCATGCACAGTTGTTGAATTATAATGTTGACACCTGAAAATTATATAATGTTATTAACCAGTGTTACCCCAATAAGCTTAATTATTTAAAACTTTATAAATATCACTTAACCAAGAAAGGACTATAGCTTAAGTGAACGTAATCTGTAATTAAGTAGAATTAGAGGGAAGCAAATTCTAGACAGCATAGTCTACCCATGTGATGTATTTTTAAGATGCAAGATTTCTAAATGGCAGCAGGCTTGTAATGAAATATTTTTAAATCAATGCTGTGTCAGTGAAGTAAGCAATCATTTACTATTTGGTAGCTCCTGGCCTATGGGGGCAAACTGAAGTACAGCGTGGCCTTCTATTCCTCCAATGGCATGGGCACCTTCAACCTTGAGCCTCAAGTGCTCATCAGAGGAGGCCGGACCAGAAAGCAAGCCATCTACATGGATGCACCCGCACCGGAGAATGGAGTTAGGCAAGAGCAAGAAGCTGAAATGAAAGAGGTGACCATGTGCTCTTTTCACATAAGCCCCTCAAAGGTGTGAGCTTTGCTGCGGATATAATGATGGCAGTAAGCTGCTAGTAAGAGAGTGAGCTCAGAGGGCCTGGCATCAAAATTCCAACGGGTTTAGCAAGATTTCTAAAAATGACTCAAATTCCTATTCTCAAGACACTGATGTAAGGCTTATGTTAATTTAGAGGGAATTGCATTTAAATCCTTGATCTTAGTACACAACTCTCTGGCTGTGTGGACATAATGGTAGGAAGTCTTGGGACTTGCTTGAATCTGGGCAGTGTGTATTCATTCACAGGGAGATACTGACTGACCGGCCACTGTGTGGCTGCCACGGGTGATGTGTGTGGATACAGGAGACTGGCACTGCTGCCCCCTGGGAGGTGACAGGAGGTCTTCCTTAATTAAACTTAGTGGCATGCACAGAACTGGGCTCATTTCTGGAGAAATTTGTAAGTTTGTGTGCTTCTGAGAATTTGTGCTCTGAATTTTTCATTGAATGTGTTTCCCATCCACAGAATTATTGGAAATACTTTAATTCTGTTTCTGAAAAGCCTGTTACACGCTCAGATTTTATGTCTGTTCTTAGCAACATTGAGTACATTCTCATCAAAGCATCTTATGGTCAAGGGCTACAGCAAAGCAGGTACGTGGAAACTTCTAGAATTTAAAAATATTTTTCTTATGTGAAAGCAAAGTGAAGGGGTTTGATTCACTTCACCCCCATTACCTCCTATATTTATTAATATAGGTATTTCTTTCTCCACCAAAACCTTATTAAATTGTAATATTAGTGTGAAATATATGAAATGAATGAAATATATGAAATGTATGAAAAATGGCATAGAGTATTTATCTCTCATACTAATGTGGGTATAAAATATAAGTACATAATGGTAATATCTTAGATGAGGAAAAATGTTGACAAATATTTTTAAGTTCTGCTATTTTCTGCCCTTAAGCCGCAATGCTCATTTCTTTGTAAGTAACATATCAAGAATGCTGTCACCTGCTCACTTAACCTGTAAAGGAGGCCACTAACTTTTGGCCAAACTGGACTTCAGGAGGTCTTTCAAGTATATTTTCTGTAACACTATTTTTTAATCCTCACTCAAGGACATGTTTTCATTGATTTTAGAGAGGAAGGGAGAGGGAGAGGGAGAAACATCAATCTGTTGCCTCCCATATGCACCCTGACTAGGGATTGAACCTACAACCTAAGTATGTGTCCTGACTGGGAATAGAACCCCAAACGTTTTGGTGTATGGGAGACACTCCAATGAACTGAGCTACCCAGCCAGGGCAGTAACACTATTTTTAAGCCTAAAATGTGGCCTGACATATGTGTAAGGACAGTATGAATGTGCTTTCACACATTTCCTTTGTAATCCAGAGGAAAGTGCGGCTATAAAATATGTGAAAATT